AACTCTTGTTTTCATTGCCTTCCGCTAGCCCAATATCTCCAGATCGTGCGAGGAACTCATGCGGCACTTTCAATTACTGCACATTACATTACAGTACAGTACATTACACTACATGGCATGGCATGACATCACATGGCATGACATGGCATGGCATGGTATGACATGGCATGGCATGACATGACATACTACTTGCTGACAGACTGACAGACTGACGGACAGACGGCAAAAGGTTGCAGATCTACAGGTTTACATAACATTACCATTAGGTGTGCATATGATGTGCTATGCTATTCCATGCTATGATACGCGATGCGACTCCGTGCAGTCTCGTGTCGTCCCGTGATGTCCCGCACCGTGCCATGCCGCGCCATGTTGCGCTATCGTTCAGTATGATGGTAAGGAACGACACGACACGACCGGCGGGTAGGTGGGTAGGTAGGTGAGGGGCAGGTAGGAGTTTTGCATAGTTTATCATAAAACCTATACTATAACTGTAGGTGTACAATTCCTGCGAGGCCCTGGCTGGTCGTGAAGCTGACCACAGGAGGAGTGCACCGGATGCGTCGGAGAACCCGTCGTCGTGATTGGCCCTGACACCCCAAGCTCAACACGAAGAGTAGGGCTTTCGTTGTCTTTTTTGAGGGTCCTTTTTTCCGTCTGCAAGGGGGTACGGCCTACGGAGCCTACTTGAGGCGAACCAAATCGGCTCCCTCATGTACCTCCACTTTGGGTTTAGGGTGCAGGGAAAGAGGAAGTACCGTAATGACGACATTAAAATGGCGTTTGAGATTGTAATGAGACTTCCTCACCGGGCCAATCATGGTGCTAAGAACATGATGTTGATGGTGGTGGTCACAGCCGCAAGGTAGTAAGGGTGGTCGTGGTGGTGGCAGCAGAAGTGTTGTGGTGGTGTCGCAGTCGCAGTCGCAGTCACTGTCGCCGCCGTCGCGTCATCGTAGTCGCAGTCGCAATCGTAAACGTAGTCATAGAGCAGCACCAACGGTAGCGGCAGCAGCAGCAGGATCAGGACGAGCAGCAGCAGCAGCAGTAGTAGTAGTAGTAGTAGAAGAAGAAGAAGAACAAGAACTACCACTACTACTACTACTACT